CGTGTCCAGAGGGCTTTAATTTTAAAGAGTAAAGACAAAGGGAGGAGGAGTGAGGTTAATGATGGGGAGACATATGCATTAGTCTACTGGGGAAGAGGCAGAGTTTTTTCCAAGGGAATGGAGTGCCACCCTTTTGTATCCTTTTTTGGTCCTTAATATCCAGTCTTGGACACCAGTAGGTGTGTCATTTAATATGCAAATGTAGTAAAATCAGCATATAATGAGATTCAGGGTCTATTGGAGGTCAGATCTGTCACCATCTTGGTCCTAGCTGGTTCCATCTGGTTTTTGTTTGTTTGTAGCTTCCTTTTTTTTATTTCTGGACCCTTTAAAGATTTATGTTAACTCTTGCTAAAAGTGGGGGTTGGCAGGTTTTGAGCAAAGACCTGGCACAGCTCTGGCAACATTCTCTGTCTCAAGTCTGCATCTCATCAAGGCAATTCACTTTTTAAAGAAGATACTTTTTGTTCTCTTCTGCTCCTTCTTTCTCATGTTCTTCACATGGGTTGACAAGAAGTGAAATTCAGGGACTCTGTTAGAAAAAGGCATAATTTAAGCTATAATCAGGGGTCATCATTAGTAAGACAAAGGCTTGTTAGGTACTCTGAACAATGTAAGAACTAACGTCTCCTGGTGCATATAAAAGTTATGTTTACACTGTACAATAGTTTATTAAGTGCACAGTAGCTTTATGTCTAAAAAGGCCAATGCACATACCTCAATTTAAAAATGCTTTATTGCTAAAAATTGCTAACCATCAACTGAGCCTTCAGAGATTCATAATCTCTTTGCTGGTGGAGGGTCTTGCCTAGATGTTAATGGCTGCTGAGGGATCAGGGTATTAGTCGCTGAAGGCTGGGGTGACTGTGACAATTTCTTAAAATAAGACAACGATGAAGTCTGCCACATTGATTGACTCTTCCTTTCAGGGACAATTTCTCTGATAGCATGCAATGCTATTTGATGGCATTTTACTCATAGTAAAACTTCTTTCAAAATTGGAGTCAATCCTCTCAAACCGTGCTGCTGCTGCTGCTTTGTTTTTCTTTTTGGCTGCACCGAGCAGCGTGCAGGATCTTAGTCCCCCACCAGGGATCGGACCTGCACTCCCTGCAGTGAAAGCGTGGAGTCTTAACCACTGGACCGGCAGGAAGTCCCCCCGCTGCTGCTTTATCAACTAAGTTTATGTAATATTCTAAATCCCTGTCACTGAAATTGTTGTCATTTCAACAATTTTTACAGCATCTTCACCAGTGTAGATTCCGTCTCAAGAAACCACTTTCTTTGCTCAGCCAAAAGAAGCAACTGCTCATCTGTTAAAGTTTTATCATGAGATTATAGCAATTCAGTCACGTCTTCAGACTCTGCTTCTAATTCGAGTTCTCTTGCTATTTCTACCACATCTGTAGTTACTTCCTCCACTGAAGTCTTGAACCCTCAAAGTCATCCATGAGGTTTAGAATCAGCTCTTCCAAACTCCTGTTATTTTAACCTCTTCCTATGAATCAAAAATATTCTTAATGGTATCTAGAATGATGAACCCTTTCCGAAAGGTTTTCAATTTATTATACTTTGCCTAGATCCACTGGAGGAATCACTATCTATGGTAGCTATCACCTTACACAATGCATTTCTTAAATAATAAGACTTGAAGGAATTATTCCTTGACCATGGGATGTTGTGTTAGGAGGCTTGAAAACAATCTCGCTGTACAACTCCATCAGAGTGCCTGGATGACCAGATGCATTGTCAATGAGCAGTAATATTTTGAAAGGCATCTTTTTTTCTGAGCCGTAAGTCTCGATACTGGGCTTAAAATAGTCAATAAACTTTGTTGCATAAGATATGCTGTCATCTAGCCTTTGTTTTTCCATTTTTAGAGCACAGGCAGAGTAGATTCAACATAATTCTTAAGGGCCCTAGGGTTTTCCGAATGGTAAGTGAGCATTGGCTTCAACTTACAGTCACCAGCTGCGCTAGCTCCTAACAAGAGTCAGCTTGTCCTTCAGAGCTTTGAAACCAGGCAGTGACTTCTCTCTAGCTTTGGAAGTCCTAGATGGCATCTTCTTTCAATTGAAGGTGGTTTTGTCTACATTGAAAATCTGTTGTTCAGTGTAGCCACCTTCATTAATTATCTTAGCTAGATCTTCTGGATTTTGCTACAGTTTCTACATCGGCACTTACTGCTAATGAGAACTTTTATGCTATGAAGACAGCTTCTTTCCTTGAACCTCATGAAACAACCTCTACTAGCTTCAAACTTTTCTTCTGCAGCTTCCTCAGCTCTCTCAGCCTTCACAGAATTGAAAAGAGTTAGGACCTTGCTCTGGATTAGGCTTTGGCTCAAGGGAACATTGTGGCTGGTTTGATCTTTTATCCAGGCCACTGAAATGTTCTCCGTATCAGCAATAAGGCTACCTCAATTTCTTATTCACGTGTTCACTGGAGTAGCGCTTTTAATTTCCTTCAAGAACTTTTTCTTTGCATTCACAACTTGACTGTTTGGCACAAGGGGCCTAGCTTTTGGCCTATCTCAGCTTTTGACATGCCTTCCTCACTAAGCATAATCATTTCTAGCTTTCAATTTAAAATGAGAGACGTGTAACTCTTCCTTTCACTTGAGACCTTAGAGGCCATTGTAGGATTATTAATTGGCCTAATTTAAATATTTTTGTGTCTCAGGGAATAGGGAGGCCTGACGAGAGGGAGGGTGACCGTGGAATGGCTGGTCAGCGGAGCAGTCAGAAAACACAAATTTATCAATTAAGTTTGCCATCTTACATGGGCGTGGATTGTGGCACCCCAAAACAATTTCAATCGTAATGTCAAAGATCACTGATCACAGATCACCATAACAAATATAATGATAATGAAAAAGTTTGAAATATTTTAAGAATTACCAAAATGAGACATAAGACACGAAATGAGCAAATGCTTTTGGAAGAAACAGCAGTGATAGACCTGCTCAACACAGGGTTGTCACAAACCTTCAGATTGTAAAAAACATAATATCTGTGAGGCACAATAAAGCAAACTGCAATAAAATGGAGGTATGCCTGTACTGAGCTGATTGTATAATTTTTCTTTTAATGGTGAAAATATTTTCATAGACTTCCTGATATTGAACCATCTTAGTTGCTGGAATGAACTTCACTTCATGGGGTCATATAATTCTTTCAATGTATTGCTGAATACTATGTACTAATATTTCTTTTAAATGTTTGCATTGATATTTATAAACAGGATTGACTTACAGTTTCCTTTCTTATGCTAACTTTGTAAGGTTTTGGTATTAGTATCTGCTGACTTCATAAAAATATTTTGAAATTTTTCTTCCTTCTCTGAGCTGGAAAAATCCGAAATTTCTTGTCCTAGTACTCTTGAGGGGAGAGTTTCTAGATAACATTCTCGATTTTTTTTCCAAGGCCATCAGTATGTTTAGATTTATTTTTTTCTTTTTTCTGAGGTCAATTTTGGTAGCATCTACTGTATTATATATTCTCCATTTTATCTAGGTTTTCAAACTGATAGGCACAGAGATTTGAAAAGTACTCTTATGAGTCCCATTTCTTCTGTCTCTGTTTTAATTTCCCTCTTTTCATTTGTATTTTTGTATATTTATGGTTTCTTCTTTTCATTGATTAGGCTAGGAAAATTAGGGTAGTTTATTTCATTTTTTATAAAGAGTAAGATTTTGATAAGAATAAGATTTTTGGTTTATTTACCAATTGTTGTATTTTACTATTTTATAGTCAATTAATTTCATCTTTCATTTTATAATTTTCTTCCTCTGCTTTCCTGAGGTTCACCTTGTTGTTCTTTTTAACTTAATAACAAATTCCTAATTTACTCACTTTTTCTTGCTTGATAGTGTTTAAAGCCTTAAATTTTCCACTAAATATGGTTTTATCAGAGTCCCGTAAGTTTTAACATGTAGTGTTTTCATTATCTTCATTTTCCAGATATTGTATAATTTTAGCGTTATCTTCTTTAGTTGGAAATAACGTGTTTTGATTTTCGTTTCTATGACAAAATATTAAGAATTTTAT